ACACGCGTGTATATGCAACCCTTGACCCGTATTGCACAGTGTTCCAGGCCGAAATACATGCAATAGAGATCTGTCTGAGAATCAATTTGGAAAGGGGGTATAGAAACCGCACCATCTATGTGTTCTCAGACAGCAGGGCTGCACTGCTGGCGCTCCGTTCAGCTCAGGTTACATCCAAGCTGGTCTGGAGCTGCCTTGCTGCACTTATGGAATTGGCATCGGAAAACAGAGTGATGCTCATTTGGGTGCCGGGCCATAGTGGCCATGCGGGCAACGAAGTTGCCGATGAGTTGGCGCGGAGGGGATCTGGGGCTGCCTTTGTGCAGCCGCTGCCTTTCTGTGGTCTGCCTTCTTCCGCCGTGGGGGCCAGGCTTGCCTGCCTACTCGCGGCGGAATGCAGTCGTCACTGGCGGGACACGAAAGGGTGCCGTCATGCGAAGGTGTTTGTTCCGGCGTGCTCCGGCGGATTCGCTGCGGAGTTGCTGGGGATGAGCAGGAGCCGGGTTCGCACTATTGCGAATTTCTTCACGGGGCACTGCCCGGTGAAATACCACCTGCACAGGCTGGGGAAGTCGGGCTCCCCCCTGTGCAGATTTTGTGGGGGTGGCGATGAGACCGCCGTGCACATTCTCTGCGACTGTCCGGCACTGGCTGTTCGGCGCCGCAATTGTCTTGGACATGGGTCCCTAAGTGTTCGGGAACTATTGTCCAACTCCCTTAGGGATATCTCCGGCTTTGTGATTGGGACGGGGATATTATAGACGGGAGGGTGGGGTGGCTACAATAAGTCAAAAATGGCTGCGGTGGCTTGGGGGGATACTCCTGTCCCCACTCAGTTCCCTTAGAATCTACAATCTATCTACCTATATAAGTAATTCATAAATAATTTTTTGAATTCAATAAAAATTTAGGATGTGGAAAGAATTATATAAAATGTAAAGAAAATAACAGACAAAACTGTAATTTAAACATAACGCTACAAGTATATGGAAACAAATACAAGGCAAAAATCTTTATTTCAAATAAAAACACGTGTAAACATAGTAATTAATTATTAAAGAAAATTTTATTATTATGTATTTTAAAATGACAGATTGTCATTGATTTTGTATTGAAAAATTTATTTATTTAGCATTTAATTGACAAAATTAAAAGAGCTATGAAAAAATAAACGAAATTCTGCAACCTACCTTCTATAATCAAAACTGTATTGCTAAATACTCGTTGAATAAGTCATGCTGACGACAGTCACGTCACGTTACATCTGCATGTTCTATGATATCAAATAAACGCAAATATATGTAAATACATAGTTCATCCCATGTGGCAATGTAGAGTATTTGTTACTTTGGCTAATATTCCGCAAATTTTCAGTTGCTCTTACTCGTTTTAAGATAAACCGATGGAAAATAAATAAGAAATAAAACTATTGCAAAAATAAAAACTACATGTGTGGCGGCGATCTTCATACATGATTCCACAAAATTAAAAAGGAAAACTGTTATATGAAACTTATAGTTCTGTAAAACTTTTATACAACTTCTTTAATTATTTTTATTTTTATAACTTCATTATATCTATACAAAATTTCAAGATTAACTTTAATATAAGTTTAAATAGATTATTAAAAATTCAAAAAGAGAAAAAAAAAAGATCATTAAACTTTCTTTTATTTATTAAATTTCAGAATTTACTCTGTATTCTGTATTCATTATATTCTCTTCATTGACAAAAATCGAAAAAAAAAGTGTAAGCAAATAATCAACATTTTGAATACAAAAGCTTTAATTAAGGCACGTTTTCTTGCAAAAATGGATTTAACAATTTAATAGACGTCTTAATTTTGAACTCATCAAAAAACATGAGATTAGTTTGAATTTTGTATTTGAAAGATGGAAAGACTGAACTTAAAGAAGTTGACAAAAAGAAATTAATACTTGATTAACTTCTAAAATTAAAGATTTTCAATATTTATTATTTTTCTTAGTAAATATTTTAAATTATGCAAACAAAGAATTTAATCATCAAGACCAATTTATAGTTAAAAAATTTCATTATCAAACACAATTATTGTTAGATCAATAGCTTTGTGGAAACACCATAATGCTTTTTTGTACGTTAAACCGGAAATTATATTAGAGGGGAAACGCAGGTTATTATAAAACCCTGTCGTTTTAATAATAATGCTTTATTATTCAAAAAAATAATACTAATGAAAATTATACTATTATTAATACAAAATAAGTATTAAACACTCATGTACACATTGTACAATAAGCAAATGGGTCTAAATTTTCAATTTTAACACATAGTTACAGTGTCATAAATCTTAAAATAAAATTCAAATTTTTACTCTAGCTGCTAGCTAGCCTAATAAATTTACTTGAAATTTATATACATATACATAAGTATACATAAGTGCGTATGTAAGTGCTTTTTCCAAATAACCCATAAGTAGTTACTATTCTACAATCGAATTTGAAAATTTCTTTAGTTTAGAAAACAGGGTTAAAATTTGTTCAATAATCAATTGTCAAAATTGTCGTCAATCAAAATTTCTGATTTTTAATTTCTATATTTTTACTCTACAAAATCTAATTATTTTTACTCTACATTCTACAATAATTCTTATATTCTATAATATTCTATAATACTTTTTTCTCCCCACTTTTCAATGGTGCATAATCATAACTTGAATTGTCAACTCTTTCTTATATCGTTGATATATCGTATTTTTATGCATCCTACATGTTGTATTGCACATCTATCTACTACATCGTTCACACCAAATAAAATTATATACATATATATATAAATGTATGTACATATCTGTATAACTTCAAATATGTTACGTACCTATGATTGTACCAATGTAGAATTATATATAGATAATACATGTAACTGTCTACAATTTATTTTATCGTTAAAATTAAAGACTCTACTCTATTGCTGAGATAAAATTTGCAAAATTATTTTACGAAAGTGTATCAAAAATAAGAAATGTTTATGTATGTACATATGTACATACATATATGAAGTTCTATATAACGTTCATGCATCAATATTGAGAAAATGTCGTCAGAAAGTAGAGTACAACACTATTGTTTCGATAATTTATCATATATGGCAAAATATAAGAAAGAAAAAAACTAAAAATAACAGAACAAAATAATTTTCGTGATAAAATCATCATACCATGAAATTTATTCTAAATGTACTGTGGTAATAAAAAACACATATGTATATGTATGTACGAAAATGTTTGGATTTTAGATCAAATAGAATTTATGTAAGAAAAATTAAATTCATATTAATAGTGGTTTGTGACTTCCTATTAGTTATTTATAAAATTGTAGATATTAAAAGTCCAAAAAACGAATATATGGAAGATATGTATGGGCATGCATTAAGAATTTATTTATACTAATTTGCATTGCCTTTAAATATAATCAGAAACTGTAATGTCTGCAAGTTAGAACTTTTCTTTCGAATATGTAATGTAATTTATAAATTAGTTCACATAAAATTAATAGTTTGTAAAAATTAGTTCTCGTAGTTATTAAAAGCTTCTTTGAATGATGTTCCATTTGTTAATATTTAATATATGGAATATCGCTGAATTGCATACTTTTAGGAGTACAACATAAATTAAGTTAAACCTTAACAATAGAACTTTAAGTATTTATTAAATACAACTAATAAGAACAGTTAAAGTAAATTATGTATCTTCTGATCATGAATTAAAAGTCTTAAATACTGATGGACTAAAAATTTAACCCGTAGCAAGAACATCATGGCAATCGCAAGGCCATTACCAATCTTTTAGCAATCTCTCCACTATAAAATTATATATGTTTGTAAATATGTATGAATTACAAATAAAATAAAAAAAAATAAGACCAATATATAATAACGAAAGTAGCTTCGGTGTGTTCATCAAGAATATTAAAATTATAACAAAATCTACAACTTGAAAAAAGAACGGAGAACACTGCAACATTATTTGAATTACCGTATTGAAATCAGAATGAAGAGTAAAGGTAGTTACAAGGAAAATGCTACAAAATTCAATTCAACTCACATGGTATCTATTAGCAATATTTTTTTAAAGTGACTAAAAACCTATAATAACTCTCAAGTTATTTAAATAATTTTAATTAATTACACAAAATGATGAATCAGTTCATTATGAGTCAGTCTATTGTAGTCAGTCTAAATAAAAATTAACTCTAAATAAGCTGAACTTAGTCAATAATTAATTATGCTAGCATAAAGTGCTGGTTTTTCCGTTTTTGATTAACATCATTATCATTATTTCACTACTACCTCCAAAACCCAAAAAGTATATCTACTGTAATAAAAATTACAGCTTCCACACTTAATAAAGTTTCTATTACAGTTACAGTAAAAAAAAATCCCCAATTCCAAATGTTAAACAAGAAAAAGAGGGTATCCATCCAACGAAAATAATAATAAAAAAAGGAAAAAAAAATAATAAAAATTCAACATTAAAATTTTTGCAGCAATACCATTTTTACCGAATCAGGCAAAAAAAAAAAAAAAAAACAACGTGCAAAAACAAAACAGAAAATCACCACATTTTTATAACAACAAAACAATGTTATGCTTTCCTGTAAATTGGAGTGAATGTTTCGTAAAAGAAAATACCAATGTAAAGCAAATACAACAACAAGAGCAAAAAAATAAGAAAAGAAAAGAAAAATAATAAAATAAAGAGACACCAACATATCATCAACGCAGCAACAACAACAGCAACTACAACAACAATTCAAATTCTCTTTTCGTTCAATAAAATTTTTCTTTTCTTCTTCCCCAATTTTTTTTAACTTTTATTTTATTATTTTTAAAACCTGGTTACATTTTACTGTACGCTTGTATGATGTGTATGTTCCTTTCCTACATACATATATTTTGTACTGCTACAAATCAACTAAGGAGAGAAAAAATTGGTTTCGTTCATTAGTTGTTCGATTGGTGAAGTGAGTAGACGCGTTTCGCTCCGTTTAAAAAATTTTTTCATTTTTTTACTTATTTAAAAAGCAAAGCAAGCAAGCAAGAAAAAAAAGTTTTTAATTAAATTTCAATATTTAAATAAAAAAATTAATAATAGCTATTTATTTAAAAAAAAATTTATAGAGTGAGTGTTAATTTTAAAAAAAAAAATAATATTTTAAAAGAAGAGAAGAATTAATTTTATAATTTGATTAAACTCAAAAAAATATTTGGAATTTTTACTGTTTTTTTAAAAGAAGATTTTAGAATTTGAGAAAAAAAAGTGAATTTGAAAATTTTGCCCAGTCTAGACTACCAAAATTTTGTTTTAATTTTTTTTCTTTCTATTTTTTTTTTTATGATTATTTTGAATTTTGTTCCTTTTTTGAAAAATTTTTCTATACAAACATACTGCCTGCATATATGTACATACATTTGTATATAGATATGTATATTATGTACTTATACATTAGTTGGTGATACACAAATATTATATACAATTGTACATAACCTTTTTATATATTGAACCGGCTTTTTTTCCCAAGTCGCTGAAAAAACAAAACTATTTTATGAGTGCACAAACTTATATACATATGTATTTATATTTATGTAGGTACATAGGTACATAGTATGTATATTGACTTAAGTAGCTTATTTTTATAATTTTTTTTTTTTGCTGCAAAAATGTAAAATAAAGTAACTATTAAAATTTTAAGCACAATTTTATTAAGTTTTAGAGGATTTTTTTTTGCTATTTTTATTATTTGTGAAAATTTAGAAAATAATATTAAATTAGACTATTTAGGTAGGTATGTTGGTAGGCTGGTATGTGCTTAGATTATTACAATATGGAAGTTGTTTGCAATAATAATAAAATTTCTGCAATTAAGTAAGGCTGCAAATTAAACTAGAAAAAAATTGGACATTAAAATTTTACTTAAATAATGTTATTAAAAAACGAAAAATTTTGTGAGAATTGTCAGAAGTTTATTAAGATAAAATTAAGCTTCGAAATGATAATAAAATTGTTATTATTTTTTTTAATCTTATAAATTTCACCTGTTTTTTTTTTTACTACCTAATATAATACATACATAATTTTCAAAATTTCTCAAACATTAATATTAAATTTTGAAAAATAATTGGAAAGATATGTAAATAGGGGATACATAACTATCCACCTATATCTGCTCCATTAAAAAACTAACTATAAACTTTTAAAATTTGATAAAGTTGGTTCGAAAAATGTGCTTCTCCATTCAGATCTGAACATCTTCCTCAAATGTGTACTATATATGTATGTACGTATCTAACTACATATTTTGAGTTCAAATTCGCTCATGATATTCTTAAGACATTTGAAATTTAGTAATTATAGTTAAATATGCTGGCTTAAAATTTAATTCTGTAAATTTAATGCGAACAATTAGCTGTTCAAGAATTTTTATTACTTTTCTACGATAATTTTAAAGTGTAATAAAAAATGAAATTGTAGTACCACAAACTATGTGTTGTATTAAAAGTATCTAATTAGAATTTTCTGTTTTAATTAAAAAAATTCTTATAATCCTATTTAATTCCATTGATTTTACTTAGTAGATGTAAGTGTAGGAGTTTAGGTGTTTAAATAAAGAACTTTATAGCTAAGTGGGTACCTACCAATTCAAATATATTTTGAAAAGGTGTTTTCTAATTTCACATTATAATTTTACTTTTAATTATGTAAAATAAGGTTTGGCTTATCTAATAAGAATCATATTGCTTTCGAAAATTAGAAACTAATCTTATTAATTCACACCATGTGTTTAAGTATAGGTGAAATAATTAAGTAGGCATATAGGAAAATTGTAAAATGCTAAAAATATAAGAATTCTATAGGAGGGTACCTACCTACCTGCTTACCAACTTCACATTTTTAAAAGGAAGTATAAATACAGGAAATTATAATTAAAAGGATATAATTATAGGATTTATAATTAAAATTTCGCTTAGAACTAGTTTTCAAATTACTAAAATATAAATACTTCCTACCTTGTACCTTATGACCAAAAAGTTTATTAAGTCTAGACGAGAATTTGTAATTATTTTACATAAATTGGCTAATATTTACAATTTTTTGATTTTCTTAATTAAAAATTTATTATTAAATTTCTACTCTATCAAAATATAAAATAATTTTTTAATATTAATAAATAAAAAATTAATACAAATTTCGCAAGAGCAATTTTAAAAAAGAAATTCTTTTAAAAAATTAATAGTGAAATTAATAATTATTTTTAATAAAAAAAAATTAAAATAAATTTGTAAAACATTAAAAAAAATATAATTTTAGTTAATTGTGCGGTTTTAAATTGTTTTAATTTATAAAACAAAAAAAAAGGAGTTACCAGATATTCAAAATAATAAAACAAAATATTAAACTGTATTTTGAAATAAACATTCCGAGATTTTTGCGATAAAAATAAATAAATAGCGAAATATTTCCATTAAATAAAGGTAAGTTATTAAAAATTAAAAATAATTTTCAATTAAACTAAATATATAGGTACAAACGTTGAATATTTCAAACTTCTTAAGCTTGATTATATTCCCTTAAATTTATTTTTAATCCTGTTCCTGGCAGATTATAAATTTTGCACACATAGGTACGCAAAACATAAAAATTCAAATACATTCAAAAACAAAATGTTTGTATAAATAACAATTTTTTTTGTTTTTTTCTCCTGCGCACACTTGTTTTCTTGTACAAAATAAATAAGGATTGTATATAGAACACCAACAAAACTGAAATGACAGGAGAATTTTTGAATACAGCCACACCATACAAGAACAAATCAGTATATTAACATGCATACATACTTACATATGTACAGATAAGTGTTTAAATTGTATACACACAAAATAGTTCTATTCTTTAGCCGCATAAGGGCTGCAAATATCCTTTTTTTTTTATTTTATAATTTAATTCTTCCCTTCCATGCATTCTTGAAAATATTTTCTTATTCCTTATTTTAGTTCGAAAAATAAAATATAATATTTTTTTTTTGCTTTTTAGAAAAATTTACTTTAATTCTTTAATATCCTGCAGATATATGCTTGTACATATATAATTGTGTTCATAAGTATATTATGTTATTATATAAATGTATATATACCTATGTATATATATATTATGTGTTTACGTATATAATATAAGCTATAAAGATATGGCAGCATACACGAGTAAAATTAAAATGTTGAAATGACATATATGTATATACATACGTATACATATATATGAACAACATTAACATAAAGATAATATTGAAATTTTGCAGTGTCGAAAGAGGCTTGCCAACCGTAATTAATTATTCAAAAAAAATGTTAAAATTTTTGTTGGTAATAAGAGTAAGCGAAATTATTTTGAATTCTAATAGGATTAATGAATTATTTTTATACTTAACATGTTTTTATTAAAAATGCTGAAATTTTACATAAATTGCAACATGTAAGCATAACTATGAAAACCTTGTACTTATATCAACGTTGCCATTAAATTTAAAATTTTTTAAAGTAAATTAAAAATTAAAATGCGATTGAATGCAATAATGAGGTCTTATTTTTCTTAAAATTTATTAATTTATTAATAAATGTAAGTGCAATGTTATTTGATATTTCAATGAAATTTGTCAAACGTAAAAATTTTATTACTTGTAAATACCTAGAACAATTATAAAAATTTTTGAATTTCATGTACTTACTTAATTTTTGAAATATTAAATTACAATAAAAGTTATCATGTACTTATAATAAATACTAATTTGTTAAAGTAAATTCAAAAAACCAATGTTTTTACAACTAACCAAACTTGTAGCTTGTTGAATTTTTCTAGTTACAAGAGTATAAAATTACTTTCAAGTAGTTTAGTAATTTTTATATATATATATATATGCACATAGTCACATACATAAATATAAATTTTTCAATTGCTTGTCTGAGCATTTTACAAAAAATATGCATATATTGCTTGTATGAATTTTTTAAATAAAATTTTAAAGTGGTTTTGTGGTTACAAGCAAAATTAAATATTAAATTTTATTTTTTTTAAGGTTAATTTTATTTGACATATTATGTAGTACCTTAATACACGAATGAATTGAAATATTTAAATATTTTTATTTTTTTGATATTTAAAACAATTTTTGAATAAAATTTGAACATAATTTACAAAAAAAATATTTCAATTGCGTAACGTAGTTACTTTTACATATACGACAAAATCTAAGATTTAATCTCAGTGATGAGCGTCGTATATATTTAAAACTGATTTAACAATAAACTTTGTCTAACGGCAAATAACTAAGTTTTGAGCAACGATTAGCTGATTTTTATTTTGGTTATAATTTTCTTAGCAAAATTATTAAATTTTGAGGTAAACTCTGACCACCATCAGATAATTTCAGTTATCAGACTTTGTCGTAAATTTAATCTTAGATTTGGTCGTATATGCAAACAGTACCTTAGGTTTTACTTGCTGAATTATAAATTGCGCCTTTACTTCAATTGAAAATAGTTTAGGTTGACGCGTCGATCCGAGCATACACTTAGACCACTTGGACCCGTTGTAATGTCGCTCCCTTTTAAATAGTTTAGTAATAACAGTTATTAATTTCCACAAAATTTTAATTTCTCTAAGGTATTCTGTATATTTCAATTATTAACACATTCAACTAAAAACTGAATAATAAATAGCTAATTTTGAATCTGCTTTTTTGATTTCGTCAAACGACCTTGAACTTTTTAGTAATTTTCTACACAATTTTGTTTTTTTTTCCGTTAATATTAACTGAAGATGTTTTTTTTTATAGAACAATACGTAAATAGGAATAATTTCTTATCTTTGTACAAATGTAACGAAATTATAAGTAACTTCTATCTCTTTTGTTTTCTCTAAAAAAAAAGAAAAATATTGTGATGATTTTTCTCTACAGTAAAAGAAAAGTTGGCGCACAATACTATTTTTAGTATTTTTCATATTTTAATTTTAAGATAATGGCCCCCATATCTTATCATAAAACAGAAAAAATTAAGTTATTTAGAGAACTTTAAATATAAAATAAGTGTAATAAATAAGTGCTTAACGCTCTGATGTCTCTTCTATTTGCAATTTGAATTCGTCATTAGAACAGAGATGCCTGTATTTGTGAAGTATTTATACCTGTATGTTGTACTTATGTATGGAAAATAGCAGTTATGTTATTTGCTATATTCCAAAAATTCAGATAAATTTTTTATATTAGTCACTGGGCACGTCAACTTAATGTTAGTAACAGTAATTGTATTTTAAACACTTGTTCTTTCAACGCAAATAAATTGTTAATACAGGAAAAGTCTCTCCTATCAGAAATTTTTAAATATCTTAAAATTTAACTGAAAAAAATTATGAATTGAATTTTAAACTTAATACCCTCACAAAATTGTGTAAACCCACACATTTCAATGACAAAATTTTTAAATTTTGTGACATAACTAAGGCCAACTTTTTTAAATAACATTTTTGCAGTTGAACGGCAACCTTTACAAAATTTTGTAAAAAGAATAATTTTAACATTAAGTAAATATTCCACTTTAGAATTTCCTTTTAGCCGCATAACAAAACGTGATAATATTAGGTGACTAAATGAATAAATACGTGAATCCCAAGAATAAAAATTCACAAAATAATTCCAAAAAACAAAAGATATTTATACCAAATATTTTGAATAGTTAAAGAAAATAAATTTTTTTTTATATTAGTCATGTTCCCAATTCTAGTTATTCTTCACTCCATATCATTTTAATGAACATTTCTAAATCCGAAATTTTAATCTACTTGTATAAAGCAAATATCAACTAACAAAGTTGTTAATTTAAAAAAAAAATGAACCTTTGCAGATACTTACGTAAATTAGAACGATAATATTAACAAAAGAAATTCCTCCAATTTCGTTTCTTTTTTTATTATCCACAAGAGTTTTAAAAAATGATATTTTATGAGAACCCTCACACTACATAAAGATTCGTCATCGATAAATTCTTAGAATATTAAAGCGTATATAAGGACATTTTACTTCTTGTGTGTGTTTTTTTTTTTTTTTTCGAAAATTACAAGGCCAACAAGAATGAAAAGAAAAAAATTAACTTGCATTTTATTTACCTTATTTAAATTATTTTGTATTTTTAAAGTTAGGGTAAATTTTTCTAACACTATCAACACATATGTTCAAATATAATATACTTGGGAACAATATTGTGAAGTAAACAGGCGGTGAAGTTATGTAAGGATTATAATATAAGATTCAGTTCGAAAACATATCGGATTTTGTATGCATCTATTAATATATGAATACAGAGGATTTGAAAAAGAAGCGAAGTACACAATAGCAACCATGGTTTGTAGCGCAGCACATTTTCCTTCAATGAGCTTGATTTAGAACGTTATATTAGTTATTAAGAGCTATAAGTCCAAATAATGAGAACAATGTTCTATTATTATGAATATTAATTCACAAAAATGTTATACCAGAAAAAAATTTGTATTACTTACTAATTAATAATAAAATTAAGACATAACCGCATTCTTTTGGATAAGATGACGATTACATTTACTTTTTTGCCTTCATAGAAGGCAAAGTAAGTGAAATAAATCACGAGTGGGATAAGACACAAGAAAATTTTGTTCCAATGAAGTCAAATAACCGATATGAAATCCTGAAGTTCGAACATAAGAAGTGATAAGTAAAAATATCGTAAAATAATACTCTCACTAAAATTTTCTCACTAAAGCCAATGATATCCTGACAGACAGACAGACCGTACTTAATAGATACATTTTATTTCCAAAGCTAAAAATATAAAAAAAAAATCAAAAATTTTATGAACTCATGCTGTTAAAAACCAATAGCGACCGTATGTTATCCATGTGATTTACTTGTAACTGTCTCGTGCCACATTTATTAAAATTTTTCATTTTCTTCCTCTTGGAAGGAGGAAAATTTTTATTTGATTCCGTATTTTATTCGGTATTTATTTTATTTAATATTGAACACCCCAAATTGTTAGAATATTGCTAAGAAAGGTTAATAGGGGTATAGAATGCAGAATAATTTCCAAAATGACTCGTTAATTTCATTTTTGGGTTTTACTTCTACAATTTAAGCAAAATACAATCAAAATTTTCTAACACTTATGAAAAATGAGCTAAAGAATAAATAAGAATTATAAAACAAAAAAAAAACATTAAAAATTTAATAATTTCCGGATTAAAAATTTAAGGATATTATTTTTTTTTTATTTTTGTACAGGAAACATTTATTTTTTTTTCTATCCTTACCTATCGGCACAGTTTTACCACAATAAAAAGTTTCGGATATTCGAAAATCATTGAAACGATCAAAAATATATTGTATGAGGAATAACAATTTGTCAAAAATAACAATGATTACTTATTAATATGAAAACATGATTTCTCGAGGATA